TGTGTAAATGTAACCCTAACATAAGAAAAATCTAGGGATCACAATGAGTTGATTAAAAACTATCATATAATGTGCACTTTCTGAGAGTATGCAAACAGGTATAAATTACAAAACTTAATTGTCAATAAGAGTCACATCGAGCCAGATCAAGGCAGATCAAATTTTTATTGAAAAATTAACGGAAGTGAAAATGTATCCTGTCTACTTGATCTAGCGTTATGCTTGCATTACACTTGTTTGGTTTGCCAGTGGATTTCACGAGGCACAATTTCAAGATTTCACACAAGGCAGCCCTGGCCAGGGCCTTTGATTCATTAATGGAATCCCTGGATCTAGCTGCCTGTTGACTTGACTTGGAAATATTTATGACAGGTAATAGTCAAAGAATACACTCTCTTTCAGTGCAACAATGTTTTTAGCTTTGGCCAAATTTGACCTGTTGTTTAAATTTGAGCCTGTTTCAACTGTTAGCAGTAGTTTACCGTATATATTCAATTAAACGCAGTGGCATTTATTAAAATTTTTGGTGATTCGAGTGCACCGTTTATTTGAGGGCAGTGTTTACACTAGGGTGGTGTTTAATTAAATCCAATTTATTTCTTGGAAACAATAGTATGGTAAATGAACATTTGAATTTTAAAGAAAAGTGAAACATGTTTTGATGCTTGTCTGAAAAGTCATTTTATATATCATTCTCAATTTCACAATCTGCATGTTAATACTACCAAAATACATAAAGTACATAAAGCTCACTCAGTTTCAATGTCACTGTCCTCTTCATGATCCAAGTCCAAAAGCTGTAATGTCAGATATGCTTCATCAACATCAGAACTGGTACATTCAAAAGGATCTGTGTCTGGGTCACTCAGAATTTCCCACTGAAATCAAAGCAAATTGATCGTCCATTGCTACAAGGCTGTCCTTCCTTGAGACAGTGAATCATGTTGTCTTTTGACCCGTCCGCAGGAAGGTTCAACGTGCACCTTGAGAAAGATTTTTTGATGACCTCTGTGGGTAGCTCTGCTTAAGAATCAAGAATACACTGCAAAATGATTCTTCTCGGGTGTGCTTTCGCAGCTGTTTCTTCGTGAATTCCCACAGTAGCCTACCATTCATCATACCTTTCAGTGCCAGCAGCCTTGAATGATGTTCCAGCAAATGTCTAGTGCCTGGATATACTTGGTGCACCATCCTGGCACAATTATTCGATCAATTTTTTTGGACTGCAATGCATGAGTAATGCTATCTTCTATGTCGCACTCAAAGGAGTCTCGGGCTAATAGCCTAAAGTTGAAAGAAAATGATCCTAAAACAGAGTCAATCCAGACTTTGGTTAGTCCAGTGTCCATCCATGCATTTGCAAGTTGTGACAACTGCTCACTGTTTGAATTCTTGGCCTCCTGTTTGGCATCTCTGAATACAACCATCAGTTTTAGCTTGGTTCCGCTGGTCTTGGCGGCTAAACACACAGACACCCTTGCCTTTTTCTGGCTGGTGAAAGCCAGAGTTATTGACCTTTTGCCAGTTGCATCAATTGTACTTTCAGATATTATGTCGCACAAGACTGAGGTTTCATCCATTGCTATGATATCAGAGGGACCATAGCTGTGCTTCTGTTATAGTTCCCTAACTTGAATTATGTAAGACACAACATTTGCAACCAGTCTCTCTGGATCTTGTTGAGCAACAGATGTTTTTCGCCTCAAAGATAAGCCATTTATTTTCATGAATTTCTGTAACCATCTTCTTGAGGCCTTAAGGTTGCTGAACACAGTTTTTGATACCTGTGTTTCATTCACCTTTTTCTTTAAAACCCTTGATCCCTCGGTCGCTAAAATGGCAGCAAGCAAGTTAACAACACAAACTTTGGTTTTTTGATGGTTAAGTTGACATATGTACTGTTGCCATGGCAACATGAATAAATATAAACAGGCCTTGAAAATCGGTATTGTTTATTTGTCATTAGATTTTCTTTATAATTTGCACGCAACAAGCTTGTAATGATTCTCACAAGTTAACACTATTTTGCTAACAATTTAACAGAGAGATCTTTAATTATCCCTTGTTGAAGGTTCACTGAAATATCTAGAATTTCCTTTGTTAAAGTTCAATTATTTTCAATGCTCCAGTTACTTATTTCCTAAAGTATCTTCTCAAGAAATAGGAGTATTTCCAAGAGTGCAATTTTTCATTCAATCACAATTTTTTTACTTACTACGCACGTGCTGCATTTAACTGGGTTCTTTCGGTAAGAAAGAAAAAGCTGAGAATTGCTGGGTTCTTTGCATCGGTACCTTTTCTAACATATCTCCATAACAAAAGACTAAAGCCATCAATACACAGCATTCAATTATAGAGAAAAATAGCATAGATAGTATGGGTAACTAAAAGTAGAGTAACTAAAATGGTCGCACTATTGACGGCACGTTTGTTTTTTCCAATCCTTGTGTGCAAGCTGAATTGCATCAGCAAAAGTGTGCGTGAAAACTGTGTTCGGCCACCTTAAAATCTTCACCCACATTGTTGTCTCCCATCAAATCACGAAACTATTTCAGCTTTCTTCATGGTAAGCTTGCTTTAAACTCGTAAACCGCCAGCCTGCCTCCTTTCAATCCAGTCCAATAAGACTTCTTCCAGTTCTGTGCTCAATGGTTTTCTGCCACCTCCACTCAATCTGCTTCTTTCTTTCTTTTTTTAGTCGCAATCAAACCTTTGATGTTGGCCTTGTTTTGGCACCAATCATGAACCCTCTCTTCATTGAGTTGAAATTGGTGAGAGGCAGGTCGATTTCCATATCTTTCTGCATAAGTAATGCTTCTTTCTTGACTGCAAGACTCTACTTCTACCTTTTTCCCCCTTATGGGAAATGGCATCTTTATTTGGGTCCGCCATTGTCTACTCAGAATGGAAGACACTGGAAAACAAGGACCAGAAGGATTGTGATATGGAGCATTGTATGTTGTAAAATTTAAAATCCCATTTCCTGCGTTTGGGAACTGCTTGTTCTTATTGGCTACACCATATGAAACCTGCAGGAGGTTGGTCCCCTATTCACTTGGTGTGGTCTATATTTCACCACCACAGAACAAGCAGATGTTGGCCCCGCAGCTCCAGGGCAAGTTATTTCAGCAATGAGAAATCTAAAATCTCAACCATTTACCCCAGGAGATGACCTGATAGCCAAAGGAAAAGCAAGGGACGACTGGCTCAAAGAAATCGAACGGGAATTCAGATATTTTAAGATTATGGAACCTACCATTTATGACGGGAAAGAAATCGTTCAGCTGGAAAAGAGCTTGCCAAACCTGACAGATGGCGGTAATGACTACAAAAAGTTGAAAAAGAAGCTGAATGACTACTTCAAGCCAAAGAAAACTAAACACCACACAAGATACATATTCTTCAAAATGAGACCGGCACGTGACTGTAGTTTTCAAAATGGTGACCTTCACTTGAGAAGTTCATTTATTCAACTAACCGATGAAATGTTACACACCCAAGTTATGAAACTGATTAGCATTATTACACACACATTCCAAATGCATGCATTCACATCCTTGTTCCACACGCATACATTTTCACGCTCGTTCCACACCTCCCTTTGCGAGTTAAATACATGCAGTTTCAGCAAAGCGAATAACAAAGAAACTGAAAATAAAAAAAAGCAGTTCATAAGTTAATGCCTTATTGTCAGGCCACAAAGTCTCAGAACTTTGGATTTGGTTTAACTGTCCTTCCATATCTCATGACATATCCCTCTGGGAGGGAGGCGCGGTGGCCTCATGGTTAGCGTGCTCGTCTCTGGATCGAGCCCTTGAGGTCTGGGTTCGAGCCCTGGCCTGGGACATTGAGTTGTGTTCTTGGGCAAGACACTTTACTCTCACAGTGCCTCTCTCCACCCAGGTGTATAAATGGGTACCGGCGAACTTAATGCTGGTGGTAACCCTGCGATGGACTAGCAT